GCAGCTGAAGCCAATGGGCAGTGCTAGCAGCTGTGGTCTGGAGAAGTCGGGGGTCTCCACGCCTGAAAGAAAATGAGCTGCATGAACACTACATCGCTGCCAAGTGTTCCTTAATTTGAGTTTGAGCTCTCAAAATGAAAATGATCTGACAATTGAATGGTGCTTTGTTTCTATATACTAATAAGAAACGTAACACTGAGTTTAAAGAGAAAGAGCCCTGATAGGTATACTGCCCATTTCACAGCCTCTGAGTGTGAATTTAGAAAGGACAACTAGTTTCATTGAGTCTTTCAGGCAGGAATTCACTTTTCTTGGTCAGTTAAGACCATTCCACTGGTTTTCAAGTTTCAGGAATGATTGTTTTATCCAACCTGCATGAATGGATACCCATCCTATTTACTTCTGATTTTATATCTCCTCTGTGTTTGCATCAGAACTTTTCATCTGTGATCCTAGTAGAGAGGAAATAGAAAGTGAGAGAGTGGAGTGGTTTATGTTAAACTTTTATTCTAAGACCATTGTATATTCACATGTTGTTGTAAGAAACAGTATTGAGAAGTCCTGAGATATCCCCAACCCTTTGCTCAGTTTTCTCAGTGGCAGCATCTTCCAGAACTATAGGAATATCACAATCAGGGCATTGATACAGTCTATGATTGCTGTCATCATATTTTCCTACTTCATGGGTACATGTGTCTGCATGCTCACAGGAATATGTGTATTTAGTTTGGTGAAATGTGAAGTGGTTTGAGAACTGACCAAAAAAAAGGTGCTTTGTAAGTGCACAAGTCATCATTATATGATTTAAAATTTTTATGGCTATTTTAACTTTGTGGTAGAAAATATAGGATACTCTACGTATATAATAATCCTTTATCTGAATAGCATGACGAATTGTATGATTGTTTTCATCTTAGTGATTATGTATGTTTAATATCTTCATCTCTTAATGATGATTGTCTTTGGAAGCCCAGACATTTTCAGTTATTTGAGGGCTGCTAGAGTTCCTTCTATCTGAATATTTAAACCTGGGGCTGGACTCTACACTTCTTGGTCACCTGAATTCCTAGTTAAACCAGACCTTTCTTTTCTCTATTTAAATGTTCCTTCTTGTCATATTACCAAAATAAAATGCTCTTTAGACCCAGCCTGGTTGAAGCAAAGAGAAAAGGCAAAGTATGTGTCCTGGGTGACTCCCTTTATGGACACAGGAGTTCAGACTAGTTAGGGGTTCCTGCTCGGGGCAACTCACTGCTCTTATCACCCACAAAGACTGGGAAGCCTGTTTCACTTAGAGCCTTCAGCTCTGCTGGTCACAGCTCTCCAGGGCTGTGGGTGGCACATGGAGTGCACACAGAACACCCGAGCAGTTATATTACTACGTGAGCCTGGAGGAACCAACTACTGATGAGTGAGGTTCTTTTCTCCCTCTGTCTCCTCTCTGGCATTGTCTCCTCTGACCTCCCTGGGCTTTTGACCCTGACCAGCCTGGCCAAACCTTAGGCTTCATTTTCTGGCCCTCACAACAGCCTCCTCCAAACCCCACTTCCCAAAGCCCTCTCTGACCACGCCCGAGATGGTCTTTGAAGATCTCCAGGTGATTCTAATGGCAGCAGAAAGACCAGCGCCAAACTAGAGCACCAGCGTCATTTCTCTGTTGGTTCTCTCACTCCAGTCAGAACAAGATGCCTTCAAAAATCTCTCCAAAACCCACTGCTAGAGTCTATGGATAAAAGTATCTTTGCCTTCATAAGTGTTGAGCTTTTTCATATTAGATTGTGTTTTATCCAGTCAACCATCAATATAATTTTTACCTTAACTCAAAAATCCATAAATTCAACAGGCATTTTCAAGTCAATGTAAAGATTTTTAAATTCTTCTTGTCCCCTGTGGCCCCCATAAGATAGATCCTGAGGTGAAAGGAGAAAATAAAGAGCATATCATAATAGTATTAGCAGCCTGGGAAGTACTTCTCAGTGCTCTAAGGAAAGGCCTCAGCCTGAAAAACGCTTATGCTTGTCCAATGGCAGGTGACACACTGGCATCAAGAACACTTGCCTCACACTCTCTTAGCTGTGTGACTATGGACAGATCACGTCCTTGAACCACTGTTTGCTCTTACTGGGATAATAATCCTGAAGCTAACTATCTCTTGGCTTATTTAGGCTCTAAATAAAACAAAAATGACATGCTCCATATGAAAATAATTTTGGAAACTATCAAGTATTTTAAAAATATTATTTATAAAAGTTGTGCAGTGAGTTATTGATACATAGGATAATATATTAGATAGTTAAATGCTTTATAATTATGCTTTATTTTCCTCTTCGATCTCTCTATGGTATGTGTAATGTCAATAATTTTGTTTTTAAAATAATTCCACTTACAAAGCTTAACTATGTAAAATTCTGTTAAGTAGCTGTCAGGTAGCCATAGAGCAACATCCATCAGTGCGACAGTCACTGCTTGGATAGTCTCCATAAGTCCTCATATCGCGTCCTTAAGTGAAGTAAACCAGGCAGCTTTATTGTTTTAAATAATTGCTTCCTATAAGCCTGCCCTTGTCATTCTTTTCAATTGTTCTAACTTGCCTGGCTGACATTTCCTGGATGACTGAGCTGGCTAACTTCAGGTTCCAACTGTGGACTTATGAGGTCTATTCGAGATCAAGGTCCTCTGGTATAAGACCATAGTCAATAACTGGCTCTCTCACAGGTTTTTAAAATGAAGTTTCAACTGAGATGGTAAGGTATAATCATCAATTCCATTGGGAGGCAAGTCTCCCCAATGCAAGCTAACAAACATGTAGACACCCTGGACCTAAGGGTTCAGACTGACGCTACAAGTCAGAGAGCTTTGGGGAAGTGTGTGTAAGGAAATTTCTTTGCAGATGAGTGTGGGGATGCTACTTTTTTTAAATCTCAAATCCAGTGAGAGAGGCTTCAAAGGGCCTGTCAGAGGCTTCAGTTAGCTGGTGTTGAAAGCTAAGGCTTTCCTGTGGCAGCCTGGATGAGGTAGCATGGGAATGGGCCTGCACTCTGAGTCACCTGGACAAGGTATGGATGGGGTGGGGTTTCCCTTGGACAAGAGAAGTTCAGGAATGTCTAAAACTTTATTTTAAAAGGAATAAAGTCTGGATTTCTAGAGACAGAGAATGAGCAGCAAGTAATCAGTGGAATAACACTGCACCTACACCTGGAAAAGCTGTGCGAAGTCCCCATTAATTGTAAACTCCCAAGGATCTAGGGAAAAAACCAGAAATTGCATAGCCAGACACAGCAGGATCAAAATCAGTCAATTTTAGAATTAAGTGCTCGGTCTCCTTGTTTCTCCTTGCTTCAACCAGGCTGGGTCTACAGTAGCTGGGTCTACTGAATGTGGGAAAGTGGCGTCTCGGTCAACTATAACCCAGCTGGAAAAGTTCCAACTATGGAACTTGAGTCCGAGGAAGGGCATGGGGGATGATTCTTACTTTCAAGTGATGTTTGAAGCACCCAATATTTTAATTTTGGAAAGAAGCTGCAGTTAAGACTTAGTTACCATAGGGATATCAGCTATCTACAAAAGAGCAGAAAATACAAGGTCTTTCCTTCCAGGCACAGGGGAAGACAACCAACACTGAATGTATTTCAAAATGGCAATGAGAGATCAAAAAAAGTTGCATTATGATAAAATTTGTGAATTACAAATGTGAGTCATTTTATATTAAGTAGGCAAAGCTGCCATAATGGAGTCCAAGTGCCAATATAAGGGACTTGGATAATTAATGTTGAGTCACAGATTTTGACCCTGACAGAGATAAATAAAACTTTGTTTCAGTCCACAAAATTGTCAAATCAGCTAAGTATTTATTGCCTGTTTAGTGCAAAATCTTGTGGGGCACTTGGAGAATGATTACATGCCCTTTGTTCTGGTTAGTATCATCTCCTATCTAATATGATGCCTTCCACATAGTATGAACTCAAAAATATTTTCAATTTAATTATTCTTTTCAAGACACTTGGCACCAAGGAATGTGGCATTTTCCCAATGTTCACAACACTTCAGTCGAAAAATTCTCATATTTATAAAGCATGGCACAAACCTTGAAAGGAGAGTGATTATGGTCTCACTTGTATTTAACACTGTAAAATTTAACACTGTTGCTGAATGATTGAGTAGAATAAAATTTAAACCAGAAAAGAATAAGTGGGGTACTTTGTAACCAACCAACAGTGACAACACATCAAAAACAAAAAATGACAGAACCTAGTTCTGTCACTTATTAGACTGAGCTCCTTTTTCCTTTGCAGTGAAAAAAAAACGCCCCTACCTCAGAACAACAGGGAAGGGTTACTAAGAATAATAATAATAAACATTAAAGAACCTTTGTAAACTCAAATGTTGCTCAAACATGAGGGCTTAATAACAGACAACTGTTTTAACAATTATTTATTGGGACGTGTGTTTTCTATTTTCTCAATCTTCAAAACTACAAGACCTAGCTGGATATTAGGTTGCCCTCCATTTTACAAATGAAAAAAACAGAAAGGTTAAGGACAAGTTCAAGGTTATATACAGCAGCAATGTGACTCAGTAAATCCTGATGCATTGATGATTCTGTAGCTTGCAGTGAGCTACAGTCTACAGTCCCGCTTTACGGACATTCAAAAGAGGCGCTGAAATCTCATTAGGGCTCAAGAGAGATCACTAGGTAAACTGCTAATTTAAAAGTAAATCCCCTCCAAGCCCCTCCCAACCGCGCTCCACACAAACCCCCCACCCCAACGCCTCCGCGCCGTCCCTTTCCAGCACCACCCTGACCCCGGCCCTCTCTCCTAAGACCCGGTCCCTGCACGCCAGCTCTCGCCCGGGCGTGGGCGGCACCCACGGCCCAACACTTCGACGCATGCGTCCCTGGGAATCCACGCAGGCCCAGTGGCAGAGCTGCTCCCAGGGGGACGCTCCTAACGCGACCTCGCCTGGCCCCGCCCCACTCGGCCCCGCCCCACCTGCTCCACTGCCGCTGCCGCTGCCTCCAGAAAGCTGAAGGATGAGCTGAATTTCCTCCGCTGTTACTGTTTCCAGCGCTGCTCACAGGTGCTTTGGGTCTGGTCGGAAGCCCCCTTTCCCGCTCCCACTCCCAATTCATTACCTGGCTCTCTCCACCCGCCCAGCAGTGACCTGACTCTGCAGGCGAGCAACTCGGGCGGCCAGGGTAGGTAGTTTGTGTACAGTTACCATGGAGACGCGGGGTGGCCAGGCGGAGCGGGCGGGCTGGCGGGCGGGCGGGCAGGCTGGCTGAAGATGCTGCTGCACTCTGCCCTGGTCTGGACCTTTGGAGGAGTGGGCAGTGCCGGCTGTGGGAGAGCCGCAGTCGGCGCGGGAAGTGAGGCGTCCTCCGCCACTTCACCGGGACTCTGTGGCCAGACTCTCTGTCCCCCGGTCTCTTTCCATGAGTGCCCTGTGCAAACCCTAAGGCTGGCCCACGCTTGTCTTTATTTCTATGTTTAACCAAGGGCGTGGTGCTTAATAAAAAAAAAAGAATTGTTAAGTGAGAGAGTGGTCAATATGGAGCTTTGTCTAGGCAGACAGTGACCCGGCTAAGTCACATCCATTGTATCTTACTTAGCTCTTCTGGGCAACATACAAAGCCTCAATAAATAAATAAGCTTATGTGTAACAATATACATTAAAACATGTTGTATTACATATAGTACATGTTATCATCCATTCCACAGGTATCACATCAGGTCTTCCATTGCAGCCTACTTAGAATTATTTCAATTTAGGAGAAAAACAGTACTCTGGGCTATTTTGTGAATCTATAAATTTGGATTACTTGGTGATTTGGTGTAACTGATATTCAATGGAATAATTTAATAAAATGACTTCATAAAGGAACCTCCCATTTCAACATTAACTTAAAATGCACAAAAACATGGAACAAATGTCATCCCCTTTTCTTGCAATTTTTTTTTTAAGATTTATTTATTTATGCACACAGAACTGGAATACAGACCAGAGGTGCAGGGGCAGTGAGAGGATTCACCAGAGACAGAGCGGGGAGCAAGAACAGGCAGATCAACGAAGTACACTGCTGAGGGGAGCAGCTGGCGGGGTCAGGAGAGGTCTGCCTAGCCACGTGGAGCTCCTCCGAAGCAGGCGGGAATCGAACTCATGCTGAAGTGGCTTTAGCTTCTTAGTGCTGTTCTTTAACCCACTGCGCACCAGGGAGGGCCCACAATTTCTTTTTTTTTTTTTAATGCAGTTTTTTTCATTCGTCGGTGACCTTTTTGGTGTGTGCTTTTACCAGTTAGAGCTAGAGCAATAGTTAATACTTCTTAAGGCCCAGGCAGCATGCTAACAACATACTTTATATAAATCATGTCATTTAGTTATGAAGACAATCCTATGAGGCCACTGTTATTAATATCCACATTTCCTAGAGGAGACTAAAGCTCAGAGGTGTTGGAAGCCTTGCCCAAATCACAGAGTTGTGACTTGTCAGAATATTTGAACTCCTGCTCCAGCATCAAAGCAATTAAACCCCGCCTCTTTCGATGTTTACACAAAAGTATTCAAAATCATGGTAGAGGGATTGAGTGTTTGATTTGCAGGGCAAGAGCGTAGAAATATCCTGATAGTGCAGTGAAGCTTTTGGCAAGAAGGCTCTGAGTCAGGTGACTGTTACCAAAAGTGAGGTCGGGTCCTTATAGTTAGGCATAAACATTTGTAAGTGCAATCCCAGCTCATCCTCTAGAGGTCTGTGGACATCATAAGCTCAGAACAGTGATATGAGACAGACTCTTCCCTTTCAAACTCCACATATCCTATTTTCCTTTAAAAGTCCCTTCCCCCTTTAATTCTTCAGTTTCACCCTTTCTATCTCCTCAGATGCCATATCTCCTTGGCTCTTCTGTTCTTGTTCTTTTCTTCACTTGTTCTCATCTCTCTTTTTACCTCTAGTTCTTTCTTTCTTTTTTCCTTTTTTTTTTTTAATTTAGGGCTGCAAAGACCTTTATTTTATCTACCTATCATCTGAGGTAACACAGATAACACAAAGTTGTTCATGTCTTAACAGTATAGGGTCTCCCCCTTCAGGTGTTGCTACACTCCACACCCACCAAGCATCCACAGCCCGTCCCAGAGTCCCCTTATTTCAGTTTACCTTCACTGCTATATCCCAGACTCCCAGTGTCTTATTCACTGATTGCAACATTTATCAACACTACTGCCTGCCAGCTCAAAGTAAGGGCAAGAAAGAAAAGGGGGCTGATTAGATAAGGAATGCTGCCATTTGAAGTGAAATCCAATGTACTCACCTAATCTACTGTGACAGATGTCTCCATTATTAAAACCACGCTGCCTTCACTTCATCCGGAGCGCAGTGCTTATGCAGGTGTTGACCATGAGTCATGCCTCACATGAAGAAACGGGCCTGGGTCTGGTGCGGCCTGGTGGGACAGTGTCATGACCGAGACTAGCTGGGAACCTTGTGGCTTCTGGAGGAAACATCTAACTGGGATAGGAAGAGGGAAAGGCATGTCTAGGAAAGTTTCCCCGAGGCCCTTTAAGAGTTAGCTGCTGATTTTGTCCCTTGTAGTCTTTTCCTTTCCCAGACTGCTAGTGCCTACCACGTCACAGCAGGCCTCAAAATCTTTCAGTTGCTCATCAGCTTTTATTTACTATCTTGACCTGCTATTTATTCTCTTTTTGGTACAACACCTGTTTTCATTTTCAGAATTCTTTGTATCCACCTTGTGTTTTTGATACTTTGCCTTGGCTCACTCACTCAAGTAGCTGGAAAATCCTTCTCCATTACAATCCCAGTGCCAGCCATTGCCACGTGCTCAAATTCAGCTCATTTCCTAGAGTCCAACTCAAGTACCACCTCTTCCAGGAAGTCTACTTCCTACCTCCCAGTCCAAAATCCCTTCTTTTTAATCACATGGCAGTTTCTCTCAGTCATGTTCTGTCTTTCTCATTAGTTTCTATCTTGTGTTAAATTCATTTGGCTACAAATGAGGCTGATGCTCAGCTAGCACATGCTAAGAAGGCTGTTCCAATTGTGAAATACTGACATGTCTCTACATTGATGATGTCAATGGCTGTACCCCAAGACATTTTCGGTGCTCTACCTCCCATCACTCATTGAGTGAATAATATCTTAAATACCCTCTCTGGGCCCTCCCTGGTGGCGCAGCGGGTTAAAGCACAGCACAAAGAAGCTTAAACCACTTCCGCAGGAGTTCGCTCCCCGCTTGCCCTGGAGGAGATCCACATGGCGTGGCAGACCTCTCCTGGCCCGCCTGCTGCTCCCCTCAGCAGTGTACTTGGTCAATCTGCCTGTTCTGTACCCCGCTCTGTCTCTGGTGAATCCTCTCACCCTCCGCATCTCTGGCCTGTACCCCAGTTCTGTACGAATAAATAAATAAATCTAAAAAAAAAATACCATCTCTGGACACATGTCATAGCTATTTTTGCTAATGCTTGAGACTACCCACCTCATAACACTGTAGGGATTAATTTAGATGAGTACTCAAGTGTCCTTAGTTTACAGTTTTCAGAAGTCAAGTAAATGTTTGACTAATCTCAGTCATCCTCTCCTGAGAGTAGACAGTGTTTGTTTTTATCTGCATTTCTAGATAGCAAGCAAAGGATTTGCACTTAGGAAACAGTTAATACTAGTGAATGGAGTTGATCCAGTTGTCAGGAGAATTTCTGTAAAGTGAAAATTTATTTTATACTATTGTATTATTCAGGTATACTTTCCCTGATAGATAAAATAACTTAACAGGCAAACTCTGTTTATTTAACACAAACTCACTAATAAGAATTTGTAATTTAATAACTATAAAGAAAACCTCAGTCCTAATTCAGTAAATTTGAATTATCAAATCTTTTCATGTTTGATTTAGTTAGCAGTAGTATTAATAACAGATTAATTGTGCAGATCTCACATTATTTAGATAGTTTCTCACAATGTGACTGTTACAGTAAGATGGATATATGGGAAAGAAAGGGGAAAGCTGAGTTTGTGTTAAAATTTTTATAGGCAGATTTTGAAGCCCATCTGCATTGTTCCACAAGTATTTAACCAAATAATTTACAACATTTTAGCATTTGCCCTGAATAAATATTCCTGCTTTGTTATTCTATGAAAGAATATGATTTTCAGTGCAAACTAAAATACAGTCTGGGAAAATCTTAGTCAGGAATGATAGTGTATTATTACTTGCCCAGAGCACTGTCTCTCATCTTTATTAGGTTTGCCAGATCACCTTCGGACTTTGCTAGACTTATTAGTGTCACATGAGGCCAAAGAAGTCACAAACCTGATTTGGTCTCAGGAAGAAGCCAGCTCTTTTTATAGAAACTTCTGTTCCCTAAGTGGTGTAATTTCTTCCTGCAATGGACAATTAAAAAAAAAGTATAATTGGCATGACCACTTAAGTTAGATGTTATTGGACTAAATTTATATTATAATGAATCCTAAACCAGTATGTACATATATATAATATTTAATCTATATTTTCGATAGTTTGCTTTTAATGTCTTTTTAAGTAATCAGCTATATCAGAAGCATTAGAAGTAAAGTGTATTGTCTGCCAATTTTTGTTAGCTGGATTAAGTTAGTTCATAATTCTGAAACCTTGCTTAAATTTAAAATATTTTATCAAAAATTCCTAGAACAGTGTTGCTTATCTAGTAATATTCTTACTGTTATGTCTCAACACCTGGTTGTTCCCTATGAAAGGAAATGACATATTGTTTGCAGTTTTCAATCATACATACTCTTTTTCCTCAAAAATTCTTGGGGTGGGGCCTGGGTAAAAGGAAACAAATGTTCTTGTTGTCTGTTGTTATGTAACAACTTAATGTGTAGAATCATAACATAGTAAATCTTCTTTATTTATCTAAGCAATCATCTGTTGATTCTACTTGTGGAAATGAAGTCTTTTTTCACTCCTTGGGCTTATGTCAACAAAAAAAATTTCTTGTAGAAGTTATTCAGAAGTTGGGTAGATGAGATGCATGACTACTTTTCAGACATCTGTCTCCTTACAGATGTAACATTTTCAAGTGATTAGAGTTTTGTTTTTAAGTGACTACCTAATACCATATACTAATTAGAATTAGGTTTTTTAAATCTTGACTTTTTTTTTTAAAGATTTATTTACTTATGCATACAGAACTGGGGTACAGGCTAGAGGTGCAGGGGCAGTGAGAGGATTCATCAGAGACAGAGTGGGGAGCAGAACAGGCCAAATGACGAAGTACACTGCTGAGGGGAGCAGCGGGCGGGTCAGGAGAGGTCTGCCATGCCATGTGGGTCACCTCTGGGGCAGGGGATCGAAAGCATGATGAAGTGGCTTTAGCTTCTTAGTGCTGCGCTTTAACCCGCTGTGTCACCAGGTAAGGGCCCTAAATATTGACTTTTTTGAAGTTGAGAGCTTCAGAGGTGTCTTTTCAAGTTAGTCAGATCTCCATGGGGCACACGAGCATTTAAGAAGAAGCTGTGATCTTACGGCCAGTGCATGACTCTAACTTATCAATGGAGGGAGGCACTTTGGGAAAGGACAGGTTAATGTGAATACTTACTATTCATTCCTCTAGGACACTCTCTCAAAACTATAGGTGACTTGGCTTGATGCATTCCATTGTATCATGGGCAAATGTGTGGTTGAACCTTCCTATGATTTTTACAAACTACATTTATGAAAGCCAATATAACTTGGAAATAGATTCCATATCTCTTAAGTGTAGTATTATACTAGCATAGCGTATGGAGAGCAGTGGGAAAGGAAATTTTGGTTAAACATTTCAAGAGGAACTCCCCACCCAGTTTTTTTTTTTTTTTTTTTTTAATAGATTAGAGAATATGAGATGATTTTCCTAGCCTGTCATCTTTCATGAGATAACCTCTTTCTCTCCAGGGTTAGCTTTTATTCTGGCTCTCCTCCCTCGTATCTGTCCTTCCCTCCATTACGTGCACTCTCATTGGCACGGGTGTTTTTGAGAGCTGTTCTCCCTTCTGTATCTGACTGGTAGATTTTTTTTTACAATGAAGATTTGTTTTGTTTTCCCCAAAGTTTAATATTAGAAGAATGTTTTAAGTACATATGGAGGGGTTTAAGCACTCCTTTGTAAACAATTGGATAAAAATCTGTTTTTATTTTATACCATATATTTGCAGGGTGTGGTATCCACCTAAAGAACATTTAAAAGGAAAGATGCTGTCTCCAACTGATAAAAAGTTAGAAAAGCTGGATCCATTTTATCGACCTTCAGTGTCCAAACAGAAGACCAGTGCAGAAATAATAAGTGAAGCACGAAATTCTTTAAGAGCAGTTAGGACCCAAAGACCATTTACCCCACAAGAAGAACAGAGAAAGCTATTTGGACCGTCATCTTCAAGAACACCAGAAAATAGACCTCCTTCTTCCTTCAGGTAACTGACATTGCTCTTCCCTGAACCTTAAGATAGTTAAGCTACTAAAGTGACATTTTTTCCTTAATTCTGATTATGAATAGTTACATTTTAAGTTTCACTTCTGCTAATTATATCACTTGTGTCTGTTCAAGAGTCCTAAAGATGATGCCAGACCTGGAGTCCAATAAGGTGCTTTGGTATGAAATGATTAATAGTGGTTGTCATACCAACCTTATAAAGTGATATTAACAAAGCTTTTTAAAAAATCATTAATCATTACTATTGAATCCTCCTAGAAAGAAATAAAAGGATCGCTTCATATGTTAAGCACTATATTCTTAAAATTGCTTATGTACTGGACACTCTTGCTTGTTTGGGGGGCTAGAGGGAATTATTCGCAAATTAATAACCTGACTCCCTCTCCTGTTCTAGCCTCCATGCATCCAGCTTTGAGTTATCTGATTCCAAGCCCATCGCTGGCACACGTCTCAGTCCACTAGAACTTGTGAGTACTTGATATTTCCTCCAGAGCCTTTAAGGTGGATTCCAAATATGTGGAATCAGCACTCAGTATGACAAGGAAGTGGTCACATAGACCTAAATGTACTAATAATTGAAAGAAAGCTCTTTTGTACTTCTTTAATTATTTCATGAAACACTTGTATTATTTACAGATAGCTTGATAATAAAGACGCATTTTAGAAATGTGTAGTAACCTAATAATATTCTGTTTCACACATTTTGCTGGTTTTTTAAATAGTTATACATATACATTACTTTATTTTTAGCAGCTATGTATGTAAATGATATATTCATGTACATAAAGAGTCCAAGACTCATTACCAAAGAAAGAAAATGCCAGCAGTCTCCTGTCTCCTTGCTCATTACTCTTCCCTCCCTAGTGGTTTCACTTTAAATGTTTTTGGCACAATATTTTGGTATTTAAATCCAAATTCCTAAATAACACATTGTCTTGCTGGTCTCTGATTAATGAGCATGATGAATTATCTAATGACTAAGGAAAAGGAGGATTTAACTCTTTCCTGTCCTCCCAGGCCCCCTCATCTTCCTGTCATCTTCTCTGTCCTCCTTGGCACTCCCAGTGTAGGTATATCATAATTTTAGTTAGATCCCTTTTCTCTGATTATATATATTGACTATATAAATCCAGCTGAAACTTAACTGATGAATAATGCTGATTATTTCTTCTCTGCACCACGTTTTATTTTGCTGGGTATTAGCAGTTGCCTTATCTTGAAAGTGTTTTTATTATTACTGTTCCAATCTTGTGTTCTCTCCATTCTTCACCTTGGAGAACCCACTCCTCTGCCTTCATCCTTGCTGGGGTGCACAGCTTGCTCCTCCCTCTTCTGCTACCTTTCCTCTCCTGTATCTCAGGTCCTTCTCTGTCTTGAGTGACTCTTGCTTCTGTGAAGCGCTTCTCAAGAAAGGGTGTATAGGAAGTAAATTATTTGAGAACTTGACTCCTGTTTTTGCTTTCTGGATGTTTGTAGATTTTTTTTCTCTTTGTTCCCAGTGTTTTGAAATTTCACAACAGGCCTTTGTGTTCATGCCTTTTTTTTCCATCATGCCAAGCACTTTCTATGTAGGATTTCTTGCCTTTTAGCCCTTAGGAGTGTCCTTGAATTATCTTGATGAGTCTGCTTGTTCTTTCTGATATTTCTAGTCAGATGGAGGATCCCTTTCTTATTCAGTTTTTCTTATTTTCTCCTATTCCTACCTTTTTGGAAGAAACTTTATCTTCCAATCTCTTTATTGAGTCTCTTTATGTCTGCTATATATAATTTCCAAGAATCTGTTTTCCCCCCTCCAAATTATCGTTTCTTAATATATGGCATTGTGTTTTTGCTATGTTTGCAGTGTTTCAGTTTACTAATAATAGCTTTGATTTTTAAAGTTTTCTTTTCCCTTTAAAATCACTGTTGCTCTGTGTATGGGGGGAAATAAAACAATGGGATTTTTTTCTCTCTCTCATACTTCTGGAGATTAGAGATCTGAGATCAAGGCAGGGTTGATTTCTTCTGTGGCCTCCCACCTTAGCCATTTGTTCTGCTGCTCTTATTTAAGAGTGAGTGCTGTGGATGGAGTTGGTCAACCCTTTGGTGATGCCTATCCTTGCCTATTCCTACTTGTCCTACCCATTGGCACTCTTTATGGATTTTCTTGTGTGCTAGTTGATTCTCTATAGAAGTATCTCCTGAGTTCTTTTCTAAAGGATAAAGGCTGATTGCTAACTTTCTGGAGCCAGGTGGTGGAAGGAGGTAGGTGTGTTAGCATTCAGTATATAAATTATTCATCTTGCATCTGTGTTTATAGTCCCTGACCCTCAACTGTGCCTGCTTACTCATTCAGAGACCCTCTGTTTTGTTTGTTTGTTTGTTTTTTAAGATTTATCTATTTATGCATACAGAACTGGGGTACAGGCTAGAGGTGCAGGGACAGTGAGAGGATTCACCAGACACAGAGTGGGAGCAGAACAGGCCGACTGACGAAGTACACTTCTGAGGGGAGCAGAGGACAGGCCAGGGGAGGTCTGCCGTGCCATGTGGGTCACCTCTAGAGCGGGGACCAAATTCATGCTGAAGTAGTTTTAGCTTCTCAGTGCTGTGCTTTAACCCAGTGTGCCACAGGGAGGGCCCCAGAAACCCTCTTTCTAGATCACAAACCTCCCATCTACTCCTGGGTTCGGTAGCCTGAATAGATGGAGTGGGGAAAAAGGGAGTTACAGACTTTCAGTTAATCCTCTTTATTTATTTTTTTTTTAAAGATTTATTTATTTATTCATACAGAACTGGGGCACAGGCCAGAGATGCGGAGGGTGAGAGGATTCACCAGAGACAGAGTAGGGAGCAGAACAGGTAGATCCACGAAGTACACTGCTGAGGAGAGCAGTGGGCGGGTCAGGAGAGGTCTGCCACACCATGTGGTCACCTTCGGAGCAGGTGGGGATCGAACTCATGCGGAAGTGGCGTAAGCTTCTCAGTGCTGTGCTTTAACCTGCTGTGCCACCAGGGAGGGCCAATCCTCTTTATTTTAAGAATCTTTTCTTATGTCCTTATATCCTCAGGTATCTGGTAATTTCAGATCCCTTGGTATCAATCACAGGTGATTTTATGGAATTGAAGTGTCAATCAAGCTGCTCCTCACTTTTTGTTAATGTTTAGATGGTGTGCATGCTCTTAGAAGTTTGATTTTGGTGAACTATTTGAAAGTAGCTACAAATAGAAAACTTTATCATAAAAAATTAACGGTGCATCTCACATGAACAAAGATAGCCATCCATAAAACCATAACACTATCATCACAAGTCAGTATAGCATGTATAGTCCTTGTGCAAATGGACAAGGTCCTAGGTATGTTTCATTTTAAACAAAAATGTACCTTTTATTCTTAAAGTGCTTATCAGAATGCCTCTGTGAGGAAGATTATATTTGTCCTGATATTGCAGATCACAAAAAATGAATAGTAAGCATGAATCAAGATGAAAAAAAATACATTGCCAACCATTGTTGACAGGTGGCTGTTGCAGTTACACAGTGGAAGCCACTGTAATTTGAACCAGCCACAGCAAGAGGGGCCTGGGCCTACCTGGTTGCAGGGTGGCTCTTCACAATGCTGTTGAGGGACTCCTGTCCATGGTTTCTAGTATTGCTCGGGGAGAACTTGAGTGCTCAATTCAGGCAAACTCTGTCCTAAAAATCTCTTCCTAGTGTAACCCAGTCTTTGGCAAATTGGTACTATTCTTGGGCTGCAGGGTTAAGTGTTAGGTGCAGATAATGTTGACTTTCACCTCTGTTTAGGATCACTGAAATGAAATTTCTTTCCTGAAGAATGGTTGGTTGCTATGTTCCCGGTAAGAATAGGAAGTGAACTCCTCCTATTAAGTAAAATACCATTTTTGGTTTGACTTTTTTTTTTTTTTTTTTGTTATAGTGGATTGTGTAAAGGTCATAAGTATATTTCAGTTTTATACAAGAGTTAAGTTGGGGACCCCCACTCATGAAGTTCTGCAAGTGGCCTCGTACTATCGCATGTCCCCTCCTTTCCTTCCTTTCACTTCACCTCTAAAGAGCCCTTTACCTCTGGTCATAGTTCAGTTCCCACAAGGATGAGATCAGAGGAAATAGGAGTGGTGGGACAAGAAGATAAAGGAACGCAGATATCTCACAGCTGAGGGGCGTTCTTGCCTAAAGACTCTGTATTGACCTAACTAATTGGATTTCAGCAGTTTTTGGGTTTAAGACATTTTCTCAGATAAGTTTGCCTTTAAATAATTCCTCAGGTAGCCATCCATCAGGGAAGAGGGTCCCAGAAAGCTGCCCAGTCCAGCTCCCACATTTGATAAATCAGTCCCATTCTTATGCCTATGGGCTGGCCCTTCGCTGTGGCTCCCTTCCCCATCAGGCCTGTTTCCTTCCCCCTAGCTGCCCACACTCAAGAATGCCCTGGGCTTTCCAGGATGATGGGCAGTGGTGGTGGGCCTGACAGGCTCACTAGGTTCTAATTACCTCCCATCATTATCATTATCAAAACAGAGTTCTTCCCTTGTTTCCTAAACTTTCAAAACCTCTTCATTTAAGCTCCAAGCATTTTTATTAAACATCTTATTGACAAGTGGAACAGTCACAGATCATAAAAGCACAACTTAAGGTTGACACTGTGCAACACATTTACTAAGCAGCATTCACAAAGAAAAAAAAAACAAAACCAAAACAAAACGGGCCTTTATCACCCCCCTGGGAAGTGCTGTTCTGACTCCTGGTTTTAGAGACCAGGGAGCTATTTTTTTTTAGCTTTTCTAGGAACCACGCTACAAGTGACAATTAAAACAAAATTTCACACATTTTTAAAAAGAAGGGGAATTAGTCCTGACAAAGACCGTTGGGATAGAAGAGGTACAGTGTGAGCAAGCAGAATAAGAATGTCAAAGCAGTGTTTTTTCTTTCATTATTTCCTAAAGGAATGGTGACATTAAGCCGAGAGTCACCTGCTGAGAATGACAGGGCGCCCAGGGTACCTGTGGAGAAAATCAGAGCAATAGACGCACATACAGTCGTCACATCCAAGGGTATGGGTTTGAGAGAATTTTTAATATTTGCTTTCTAACTTCTGAGAGGTCTTCGGTATGTGTGTGTGCACAGTGTGTTCTCACGTTGCTTTATCAGTTAAACAGAGACAACAGGCGTCTTTCTGAGGTGGAGTGTCATGGACTCCCCCTTCTGGCCTCCATGTAGATCCTGGCCTTCCCATCTGGCAACCGCAGGAGGTTGTCAGAAGCTGGTCAAAAGCAGCTATGTTGGGATGAGCGTCTAGAACAATCAGATCCTTTAAATGTTCTATGAATTTTGGCTTCCTTGATTGAGTTGTTCTATGAAAATTGTCTGTCTCTAACTGACTTTCCCAGTTTTATCAACCAGAAAAAAAATTGAAACCTGACTTCCCCGTGTCCTGGATTGCACTTGAGGTTGCCTAATGCCCATGACA